ACAATCCAAGAGAGGAATGTTCTCGCAATGCAGAAGGATCGGACACTGTCCATGATGCCCTTGTATAAAGAAAACCTCATCTCTGCTAGCATACGCGGAATATCGCTCCGGGGTTGTGTATAGCAAATTCCGAAGTTCCATGATACCCTAATAAAAAACCGGTCGAGTTTTACCGGTGTTCCCGAAGAAAATAGAACTCAGTCTCTTCTCTCCTCGACTGCATGCTCGACTCGGGGGTCTTCTTCTCAAATGAGATCTGGTATCCTACATATTCAGGGAGATGGGTACCCTGAAAGCCGAGTGCACCGCTTGAAATCGATCGATAGCTCGAGAGGCCGGCGAACTCTCGTCGAACTCAACTGCTCGGGCGAACGGGTCATTATAATCCGATTCTAGAGTAGCCCCCACCCGGATTCCGCCCCCTGCCTCCTTTCATCAATCAAAGATCAAGCGTCAGGTAAAAAAAGGGTGAGGAGAGAAGTCTTCCTGAGAGGACGCTCTGCGAAACCCCGCCCCTCCCTCCCCGTGTGAATGATTGCTGTGACTGATTGTAAGGGGGACCGACAAAGACGCTCGAGCCGATAGCGGGAGAGCGGTGCGTGGAGCGATATATAGGCCGAGATCGCGAAATCCGTGGTCGCCTTATGAATCAGTCGAGACGACAGGCAAGCTCGCTCCAGAAGGTCCCTTCCGGCGACGGATGATGTGTATGAAAGGTATGTCTGCTCGTTGAGATTCGTTCGTCCCATGGGTGAGAGTTTCTGAGGCTTTTGCCCAGGCGCTCATCATGGAGACTCTGCGACAAGCCTCTGAGGCTGGAATCGTCCCCGCTAGAGTCTTCCAATTAGGCCATTTCCTTCCCATGGATATCGATTGTTCCAGAGAACGGTCGTATTGTCGACCGGGGCAATTCGTTTGAAATACGATCGATCGATCGATCAATGTAATCAGCTCGCTAGTCCTGAAGCACAACGTTTCTTTTCAGTAACGCGGAGAATGGAGCTTCTGCGGCTCCCTGAGCTTGTTTTACATCAGATACTGACCTTGCTCGGGCCACTCGATCTTCTGCAGCTCGCCTGTGTTTCGAGAGAATGGTACCATCGGATTAGAAACGACGATTCTCTCTGGATACCCCATCTTAGAACTTACAGCTTTGGAATTTGGGACGAAATAATTGAGGATGTCAAATTCCTGGGCGAAATTCGTATATCGGACTGGTTCGTTCACTATGGTCGGCGCTTGACGGTGTTCAAGCGGGGATGCATCAAATCCGTCCCTGTCGGGAAGGAAACATGGATCAAACAGCCCAACAATGACTTGGCCTTCGAAACCGCCATCTTGGGGAGGTCTTTCGAATTACACGAAGACTCTCGGGCAGGGATCGGTATCCTTGCCAGGAAATACCTGTACGAGCTGCAATTGTTCCGACGCGAGGTAAGCATCTATTTCCCCGTTTCCCTTGCTATATTCGACTCCTCCATGAGGGTTCAATCGAAGCCAAGGGCAAACTCGAACGTGAAAATGATTTTCTCTTCCATATAGGATCCCTATCTGAACTTCCTGGACCCTATACCTGAAGATGTTCGCAAGCATTTGGAGGAACTCGGTCAAGCGAGGTCCCGTGACCTTCTCGCCCGTCGGCATAAGAATTTGCAATCGAATTACGTGTCTCTGCGGAAGTCTTCGCTCGGTGTAGAGCATGAAAACCATGATCGGATATCAGATCTGTTTCCCTCGGTCAACGGGATATGCTTAGAACCCGTCTTCGCGTGTCGGGCGACGAGCATTAAATCCCTGACGAATTATTCCGCTTGCGCCAAGTCTGCTTCCCGAGCGGAGAAATATCAGAGGTGGTCAGACTGTCATTTCGACTCGTTCTTCAGACCGTCCGGGCACGGAGGTCTTCGGAGCTTCTGCGAGGAAATGTCCATACGTTGTCCTGATGAGGTCATCGAGTCGGCGAGCCATGCTTCTCTCGAACCGACAGCTGAGCCCTCCGCGGATGCCTTCGTTGCTCTCCATCGATCGAAAATCAGGCAGCGGATGAATCGGATCGTGAGTATCAACTCGTTCTAGTGGAATATCCGCGTGGAGACAATAAGAGCTCCGATAAAAACCGGACCGGGCAGACCGTGGAAGCTGAGACCACCTTGATTTTCCAGATACACTCCGCGCTTGTTCCGCGGAACGGGCCGCCCAGCGATATCTGCAGAGTAGACCTGACCGACGCTCTGGAGCTTGGTGGAGATAACCCGAAGCAAGAGATGCTGTCCACTTCGTTGGTTTCTGATGGAGCAGTTCTCTTGGTCATGCAACTAATCGGGAGGAGTCGCTTTTGATTCTGTAGGATTTCACCGCCCAGTGGATCAGAATCAGAAGAAATTCCATGTCCATTGCGTGTCGAGCCTCGCGGCGATTTACGGAGTCAGTACCTTCATGGTAGGGCTTTTTCGGTCCCCTCTGATATGGTCATGTCCCGTTTGCCCCTTTCCCTCTTTGCCGATCCCCCGACCCTCCGTTCCTCTCCCGATGTATGATTTTCGCCTCACGGAGCAATCGCTCGAAGGTGAATGGGGCTTGTGGACCGCAATTTATGTGACGAAAAAACCTAGATATCTATTTTTCACGTCTGAACATGCTCATGTACAATATATATCAGCAGATAGCTGGCAAGCTGAGCTGATCTTCAAGCTCTCGGCACGACTAGCTGCTGCTGGAAGAGATGGTTTTGCGGGGGATTTCTTTGCAGGGCAGATTTCTTATTTATACAAAGACGAGGCACAACTATCCATGAAGCTCCCTGAGAAGCGAGTCGACTCAGAACTTTTAATTTATAACGTGCTTATGAATTTTTACGCTATTACCGTTGTGTGTTATTCCTACGGATAAACCCCTGTTGATTCCTGAGGCGATCTTGACTCTAGTCTCACGACGATGTTATCTACCGGACTCCCCAGGTTGAATTGAATTTGAGACCTCCTGCTCCTCAGGATTGTAGACACAGGAGTGTTTGTTAGACTGTTGAATTTACGTTTCTCCCAAGATCATCGTACCTCGATTCTGCTATTCATTGATGTGGTTGAAGAATTGAAAATAAACTCGATTTTGCATTCTTGAGAGCTTTCTTTGCCGCTATTTAAAGGACCAACCATGTATCCTCTGATGTACAAAACGGCCTGTCCTGTCTGACATGAGATGTCTGGGAGATCCGAACGATTCGCTTCACAGCGGTGACAAGGACCGCGCACTCTGTCTGGACCATGCATAATCTGTCCTCGATAACGTGAATGATACGATGCTCCACATACCATGCGTGATTTTCCATTCAACAATCTGTACGTGATGTCCCCGCGGGGAAGATCATACGTTCCGCATTGGCTGCACGCTCGTAATATCCGTGGAGAGCTTCTCATGGCAACGCTCCATCTCACGTGGAGGGTGCCAAACATTACGCACGGTTCTTCGATGATTTCTTACTCAATTAGTTTATTCATCACTGATTTGCCCAGTAGCAGCAATATAACAGCAAATTCAAACAATCACAAGAGTATTACCTAATGAACGCATATTCCTCGCTTATATTTACAGAGGCATGGTATAATGTTCTCTTATAATGCTCTTCCCTCTCGAAACGCTCTACAAGTGATGTCTCGAAACCTCTCGGAAACCAATCACAACTAATTTTTTTCACTTTACAAACTCAGAGGACCCAAACTCACACGGTGGCTCGGACTCGACTTCGTCACACACTTCGGGATAGGCGATGATCACGAGCAATCCGAGACGGCGCACGTCAAGGCAGAGCCTGGATGCCTACTCGGGAAAAAACAGGGATCGGACCATTTCGATTTGCAATCCTATCGATTTGTGTGAACATCCCACGAGTCGCTCACCCATGATTCGCGGAGATTTTCCCCGATCCAAAAAACCATGTCTATCTCACGGCGGAGCGGCTGGGAGGCATGAAATCTCTGGCTCGATCCCTGAGCGTTCCATGTGCGAGTTTGATGGCCCAATCAAGATTTTGGTTCTCTGATTTATCATTACATATACGCAGGTGATGGGCGGAACCGGGGCGGAGGATCCCGGGAAATTCGTCCGTGTTCGGGTAAATTCGGAGGGAGGCGAATGAATGGGCTGGAGTTCGTTTTCTTCCGAATTGGAGTCTATGTCTCCCCGGGAATTTCCCGGAGGGGAGACCGAGAGAATATTCATTCGAAGTGCTCGCACGCTGAGGACATGACAAGGGGCGGGAAACCCGAACCCCCCCTCGGCTCCCACCACCGTGACGAGCCTCGGAAACCAATGCTTTCCGGCTGACAATTCGATTCCGGTGTCCGAAATTTTTCCGCCATGTCATTTTGGGCGGACACCCTCAGTTGTGAAACGTGCCAACAGCCAGCAGACGGAAGCAATCGATCCATCCAACAATCACCAGCATCGATAATATATCGTGAAGCGTTTTAACGAATCGAGGAACAAGGTTCTCGTAGAGGTGTCTGAAACGTCGCTAATCGTCCTTCGTGAACTCCTGGCTAAAGCAATGATGTCATCATGACTGTTTGGCGGGCGAAATTTCTCACTGCACCTCCCCACGTGCTTGCGACAGGATTATACTGAGTGAGTGATATCGACAACCTTAAACTCATTCGATTCTCTCGTAACAGCAAGACCATAACGTTCGACCGATGTCGAAGTCAAGTTGACGAGGACTGCCTTAACGTGAACTACTTTTTGTACAGCGGACTGGGAACTCGAGCCGGCACTAAATCCGCATCCGTCGGGAACCCGGAAAAGGGAAAGTTGGGGCCCGCATAATGGGAACAATGATTTGAGCCCGGAATCAGTCCGAAATGAGAGGACTCACGATCTTTCGAGAGATAGATCGTCCGTGGACCTCCCTACGACGCGAAGCGCATGCTCCGAAGAATAGCGTGAGGAAAAAAACTTCATGTAGAATCCTGGCCTTCAGAAGAAGCTGCAGAATAGGGAATTCGCGTCATCGAGGACGCATTCCTGAAGCACCGATAGGAGATATTCTGCGTACGGATATGCTGAGCTGGCATAGTTCCAGAAGAAAAGGCGACGGGAGACCTCCGTGGGGCACGAGAGGCCAGATTTGGGAATAGCGGGTTGTGCGATGCAGGTTCCATTCCGGAACGACTTCAGATAGAACTCTCCCGAGTGATTCATCGAAGATCATTCACACGTCTATCCGATCAGGCTGTCAATAGACTCTGCGACTCTCGTATAAGAGCCAGACTCGGATCCGGTGCTTGCTCGGACTTCGGATCGGAGGAGACGTTCGCGGTTTTCTTCGGAAGACTCCCCAATCGTTGAATTTGATCTGCTTGCTCGTCCATCGGCTCCTGTTTGACCTGTACCAGCCCCGGGAACCTTTCATCCGCTCGTAGACGATGCGCGAGCTCCTGGAATAAATTGTCGACATCGTTATCACGACCACCCGAATTTTCCCGCGATTTCCCGGGATTCGCGATTCTGTCCACGATCGTTCTCAGGGAAAACTTGAGCCACGTGATGGCTCGTCGCCGTGCCCTCGTGCGGAGACGGTCGTAATGGAGCTCACCTTTTCCAGAATGTGTTTCTGCTTGACCAATGATGTGACCACCTGCTGATACTCGTAAACGATTTTCATAGTTTCGTGCAGAACGTCCTTTTGCACCTTGCAGTCGAGCTTGTGATGCTCCAATACTCTCTGTAGTCCACTAAGATCACCCAAGTACGACTGGACGCCGCCCGGCGCTTGGGATTCGTCCGGTTCGCCCACACGTTCTGCAAATCAAAGACTTCGAATGAGCACGGGAGGGAATAAGCGAGTCGATGGGGATTCTCGATTATAGTTTCATGGGAGACGGATCCTTTAAATCCTAGATTGATCCCCCTCCATTGATCTAGACAGGTGGTATCGCGGGGCGAGTCCAAGTCGCTCCGCTGAATAACCGTCTCTCATCGTTCGGATGCACCCTGATCGCACGACGAGTGTTCCTCGTTGCGGAAAGCCCGGATGCGTGCAGCAACACCAAGTCACGATATGAGCGGAAGATCTATTTTCCAAGAGGAGCCGGGCGACTATTTCGGTCGCCCCTCGATCCAGCGGAAGCGTGCAGTATAGAAGATGCGGGGAGGCACTCGCTCTCGATTTGAGGCCGCTCCCAGCGACATGGAAAAGCCCGGATCGCATCGGAGAGAAAATCATCATTCTGGAAGAGATCTCGGTATTCGCCTAAAATAAGGAAATTACCGGAGGCGCTGCTGGTGCACGAAAGAGCATCTTCCGCAGAATCCAGAGAATTCGAATGGCCGGCCACAATGAGTTTGTGCGTTGATTTGGAGGCATGGGTGGGACTTGCAGGAGCCGCTCTGGGAAGTCCGGACGAAGTTCCTGGAGCGATGGCAGCCTTCCCGCTTCCGACCAATATTCCACAGAGATCGGTCTGCCACGGTTTGAACGCCGACGTCCTAGAATGGGAGACGATTCTTTTAATGCTGATCCGAGGATCGGGTCCGCGGCTTCCAGGAGAACACTCAATACTCGATTCTCAGTTTGGGCTGAGGAGACACTTACCGGGCAGCGCTGGCGGCCCATTGATACCACATGGTTGGGTCTACTCCGAGCGATACGAAAGGATACTGATGGGGCTGCAGTGGATGTGGGGGATGTTCCATCGAGGACGGGAAGCCCGACATCTCAAGAGCTTCGTGATCTTCGATGAAACGCTGTTTCTTCGCCATGCAAAGCTCATCGCTCTTGTCCTCGTCGTCTTCGGCGTTGAAGTTTTCATCGTAGTCGCCGACCGGAGAAGCAGCGAGAGATCCTTGCGTAGAGCCACTTGTAATCGATTTACAAGATTCCGACGGCCGCTGCAAGGTAAAAACGATTGGCTTCAATTTTGGGAGTTCAATATTAAGAGGAGACAGTCCTAGATTTTCGGCATTCCATACGCGAGCCCGGACTATGGGCATCCATCTGGGTCGGTGCCTTGCGGTGCTCGATTGGGAAACGAGCTTTATAATATGTTGATCGAGCACCACAACGGACACCGAGACCCTGGGAAGAGCAGGGGGCTCTCTACGATTCGCGACAAGGACAGAAAGGGAAAACTCAGTGTATGGAGGCCCTTTTCTTTTCATTTGATCTTTCTCGCTTGGTCGTGGGACCGTTTGGGCCCAGCTCGAGTTTGTTGTTGCTACATTGTTCTGATGACACAGACGGAGAATGAATGGAGGAGAACGCCCGGAGTAAGGGAGAAAGACGCCTCTGGGTCTACAGGGCGGCGGCGGCGGCGGCGGCAGTCCGACCAACAATAGAGGGCCAGGATGCGACTGAACGATAAGGACGACATCAGGAGGAGGGTAAAGGAGTCCGGAGTGTGTCTGTCGACCAAACCGAGTGACCGACCGCCCAGCAGGAGCGGCCAGCCCTGAAACTCGTCGCCTGTCTGCCTTCGCCTATCGCCCCTTTAGGCGGCATGTCAGACACTGGAACGAGAGGGCACACGAAGGGCATTGAATTCTACAGCGCAAGCATGGGCCTTGGCTGGGGAAGGCGGCAACTGCGAGACGAAAACTGCTCCACGATCCTCTCGCCCTGGCATGGCCAGGCCGACAATACGACGGCGACCAACGGCGGCTACGAGGGACGATGTTGCCGTTATTGAATTAGAAAAATGAACGCGGGACGAGCCGTCACGGTTGTGCTCTGTGCCCTGAATCGCCGTAGAAACATCCGACATCATGTACAGCATCGTCCTCGAATTAGAACGTAATTTCCGTTTTCAGGGACGGCGGCAGGATATCTTGTTGGTGATATTCACATCGGAGGCTCGATTGCTGCAAGCATGCCGGGGCTGGCGACATGATCCAGTGAGGTCTTCTGAGCTGCGCGGTCGCCGCCAACCGACAAGCCACAACGAAGCACAGCAGTCTGGCCGCCGCATGATGTTGGGCCCCTTGGACGCAGTGGTTTGTTGGTCGGTCGGCCGGTCGGTTGGTTTGCCTGACTGGTTGCCTGCCTAGCTGTCTGTCTGCCTTTCTTTCAGTCGGTTCATCGCCTGCACCGTTGCCTTGTGGATATCCGCCAGCCAGCCAGCCAGCCCGCCAGTCTGTCAGTCAGTCACACAGACATTCGGTCTGCGTTTCTGCCTGCTTGCCCAGCCATCAGTCTGTCCATCTGTTTTTGTTCTCCTCGTTCAAGTCGTAGCTGGCAAGTCGCTACCATCGTCAGTCAGTCAGTCAGTCGAACAGACGGACGGACCGAGCGACCGACAGAACGACAAGCTGAAAGAGCGAGCAACGTGCAGACTATGACTCCATCTCGATCGGATCGTTTAGACAGACAGATTCACATAGCCAGCTGGCTTGTCTCGTCAGATGAAGTCAGCCACTCCGTCGACTGGCATAGGGAGTTGCTCGAGCCACAACCGCTTGCGCTCGAAGTTTCACTATTCTCCCCGAAGTTTGCCTCTGTCGGTGCAGGCCTCGACGAGCTTATCGGCGTATCGGATCTACGTCAACTATTCGATGAATCAACATTAATATCTGATGGCATCGCTCCGGCGAGGCTGCTCGGCTTGTTGTGCCGTTCATTTCGGTCGATCGCGGAGCTTTTGTGACCGAAAATATTTGGCTATATATTCCGTTTCAGATAAGTGAGGAAGAGTCTCGTGGCGATCACAGCTTCGAAGGGAGGCTCTCGATCGATGTCAAACTCCCTTCGAGCTCGTGACAGAAGACCGTTTCGTATTATTTGGATGCCGATATTTCTGACATCATGGTAGTTTGGGATTAGCTGTCGAGTTTCCATAGCTCGAGGGCTTAGCCAATGTAGGATAGGTCCGAGCGACCGTTTGCCCCCGCAAGAGCTGGCTTAGTGTCTGCACACTCGCTCTTCTCTCCCATCCACCGTTTCTGAAGCCACACTAGCCAGTCAGCCCGTCTGCTGGCCAGCCCGCTGCTGGCAGCCATTACAACCGTCACCACGATATCGTCGACGTGTCGGTGGTTGCCGCCGCTTAGTCAGTCTCACTAACAGCAAGTCGACAGCCAATCTGGCTGTCTGTCTGTCGGCTCGACGGTCGGCCCGACGGTCGGCTCGAGGGTCGGCCCGTCTGACGGCCCGACGGCCGGCCCGTCTGTCGGCTCGGCAGTCGGCCCGGTCGGTCGGTCGGTCTGTTC